AATTTCGTGTATTGTACTATACTGAATACTGATTCTATGTAATGTTATTCTTATGTACTTTATAATTTTGTGAATATTACGTAAGCTTAAAATATAACAAATTATATGAGTCGGATTTATAAATAATTTCTAAATAAGCCTTTGAAAAGTTGTCAATGATTGGAGAGGATTCAAGTTAATAGCATTTTGTTTGACAAAGTTGGTGGAAAGATGACATGGCAAAACTAAAAAGCTACACATTAAGTCAATGATTTGAGATGCTCTTAATCTTATACCTGAGGTTCAGATATTTTGACACCATCTAATTCCCCAAAAGCTTTGACCAAAAAATCTCTTCTTTCACAAAATGCTTTGACCATTTGTGACACGGCTTCTCCACCTGCATGTCCCATTCCTAAAGCAGCCACAGCTGCTTTTTGAGCTATACTACTAGCACCTGAAGTTGACTGACTCAACAAAGAAGAGGGGTAAAATGGTCATTTACTCTCTCACATTCAGAGAGACAGTTCATTTGGTCCAGAAAAGAAACAGTCTTTGTTCATACATCATTTCCTCAAAATATAAGGGTAAAATGGTCATTGACTCTCTTGTTCAGACAAAAAGAAACAATTTTTCTTCGTTTATAGAATACTTCCTCCAGACACAAGGATAAAATGGTCATTTATTCTCATTGAGACAGTTCATTCGATCCAAAAAAAAGAAAAAGTCTTTACTCTTTGTTCATACGTATAGCGCTTCTTCCAAACAGAAGGGTAAACTGGTCATTGACTCTCATTCACACGGTTCATTCAGTCCAAACAAGAAACAGTCATAGCACTTCATCCAGACAGAAGGATAACATGGTCATTCACTCAAAAAAAGAAAGTCTTTGTTCATACAGAACTTCCTACGCACACAAGGTTGAAATGGTCATTAACTCACATTCACTCACAAGCTTCATTCGGTCCATTAAAAAAAAGTCTGTGTTCATACAGTGTTCCTTCAAACATAAGGGTGAAATGGTCATTTACTCTCATTAGGTACAAAAAGAAACAGTTTTTGTACCTGACTTTGAATTTTGTTACAAGCAGCAACAAAGTGTTTAGGACCAGCAATATATCCAAGTCTCCATCCAGTCATTGCAAAAGCCTACACAAATAAATATATGCACACTAGATGAGCCATAGCTTATATGATATGCATATGCATATGTATATGTATATGTTAACGTAATATTTATACATATATTACCTTAGAGAACCCATTGACTGTTAGTGTCCTTTCCCACATGCCAGGCAAAGATGCAAAGCTCGTGTGGACAGCTGGCGAGTATATTATATGCTCATATATTTCATCAGAGAGCACCTGAAAAGAAACCAATAAAAATAAGGTTCACAATACTTAAAATCAAACCTCTGTTTGTTACACATGACATGACAGAATATGACAACATTGTACTGTGTAGCAAATGCAGCCTGAGGGTAGTTTGGTCATTTTACCAGGAGTCTTGGATGCTTTGCAACAACTTGAGCAATCTGTTCAAGAAGTTTCTTAGGATAAACAGACCCTGTTGGGTTAGATGGAGAGCAAAGAATCAGCAGTCTTGACTTCTCTGTAAGCTTGGATTCAAGAAGCTTTGGATCCAACAGAAAATTTTCAGAGATGCTTGCAGGAAGAATGACAGGTGTCGCATCAGCCAACCTTGCCATTTCTGGGTAACTCACCCAAAAGGGAGCTGGAATTATGACCTGAAAAATTAGAAAGCTTGTAAGATAAAGGGCTAGATGCAAGAACATTCTAATTTGAAAAAACTACGCAATTATAGGAATGAAAATTGCTTTTATTCTGTATGACATTGGTATAATTGGTAGATTTTTCATAGTTCAGTGTTGTAAATGCATTATGAAACCATAATCTTCTACCCTTTGGATAAAATCCATTATGATTTATGAAACTATGCCTTTTAAGTTGCGTAAATAATCTCACAACTACTACACACAAGTAGTTTATTTACATAATTTTATAAAAAAAAATTATATAGCAAAAAGTAAATAGCACTTAACCTCATCTCCTGGGGAACAAACAGCAAGGATTGCTTGTAGTATACTCTGTTTTGCCCCATTACTAACCACAACCTGGTCAGGTGTGTAGGAAATATCATTCTCATCTGCAATAATAAATGAAGGAAAATACTTAAGAATTGTGAACAATAATATCCACCCTTAAGTTGTCTTTCTTACATTTAAAACTTACCCTTTAGTTTCTTGCATATTGCTGTTCGTAGCTCTAGGGTACCCGCATTTGGAGTATATCTTGTGTACCCTTCACGAATTGCATTTATTCCAGCCTATTTATAATGAAAAAGATATAAAGATTTAAACTTTATAGCAATGTAAGGAGTAGAATGGATAAATAATTGACAGATATATCATTAAGTGAGCTACCTCAGCAATAACAGATGGGGTGTCAAAATCAGGTTCTCCAGCAGCTAAACGAATGACAGGAACACCAGCTTCAACAAGTGCAGTTGCTTGATCAGTTATAGCCACTGTTTTTGAAGGCTTTACAGAGTTGACTCTAGGGCTCAGACTAGTATCAAGTTCCATTTGTTCAGAGTTGCTTTCTACTATTACTGCTGAACAGATTTTAGAGGTTTTATGCCTTCTTCTAGTCTCCAAAGATCTACTCAAAAATACAAATAGAACCAAAAGAAAAATATAAATAAGTTGGAATAATATCGCCATCTGTTTATAACATTAAATTTAGCACCTAAATGAAGGCTTTCTGTAGTAATTTATGCAATCTGAATCATGATTTTCAATAACAACAATTCAAGCACAGTAATTGATATGTTTCTGGTTATAAATGTAAATTTTGAATCCTTCAAGAGAACTAGTAGCAGATTAGCAATTTCCAGGAATCTGATCATCAGATTGATGAATGATGACCTTAAACTATGTGTTTCAAGCAAAACGCTCATCCCTTTAGGGGATATGGGACTAGGACTACGCATTTGGAGCTTTAAAAATCCAAATCAGAACTTCAGAAGCATAAATTTAAGGTTTAAGATAGGTATTACAGCAGATTTGGAGCTTTGCATACATTAATGGGAGGTTTTTTTAAAAGCGATAAAGCCCTGCTTCTCTATTGTATAGCAAACCGGAATGCCCTTTTGTTTAAAAATAGAATGCAATTTATTCAAACTATCAAAATCCGATCAACTAATAAATTCGTTTCCCGAACAAACAAAAAATCTGCAATTCCAGTAATTAAACAACCTAACTGGGTTACTTCAATCGCAACACAAATGTTAGGAAGTTAAAATGCCAATTCAAAGCAAAATTATAACAGTATCAAATGAATACCAATAACAACATACTTGATTGACAAATTGGTGTTCAGCTGAGAAGAAAACGAGATTGAAGTTGATCTGTTAGAGCTCAGTGAATCAAAACCGAGTCTGAGCGAGTGATCTTTGCAGGAGGCAGTGGAGCATGCGGAAGAAATGCCGGAAATTTGAGCAGACATGGTTGAGCCAAATTTGTGTTTGGAATCCGAGGGCGATGCATCTCGGAAATTTATATAGAAATAGTATATGCGGGGTTGGTGATATAGGTGGTAGGTAGGTTGATGAGTTGCACTCTCGGGGTTGTTGGAACTTGGAAATTGCAATACCTTTATTCTTTCTCTTTTGCTTAACATAAAAATAACAAATTGCAATGCCTTTATTCTTTTTCTTTTACTTAACAAAAAAATGTTATTATATATATATATATACATATATATATATATATATATATATATATATATAAACCAAATTGTTAGCGGCTAAGTACAACTTGCAATGCGTAAAATGAAACCGTTAATTTTTTATAATCCGTCACTTTCAACCGATCTATTTTGTAAAATGATATTTTCATCATTTTACTTTTTAAAATATCATATTCATCCCATCCAACTTCAAATTTATAGAATATCACTTTTACTCATTTGTTTTCTAAACTTTTCGTGCTTATCTCGTAGTATATATAGATACAAATTTTCCCTCCTCTACTTTGCAGAATGCATTTTCCACCCCTCTTTTTTTTAAATGTTACTTTGACCCTCTCAACAAATAAAATCATTGTAACTAATACTACAATTGTTTGTATAATGCGTATTGTACTACTTATTTTTACAATTATGTCCTCTATATTTTTAACGATTATTCAAAAGTCATCCAAATTACAAAAATAATCATAAACTCTTATCATCTTTTGATAAACCACCCATGTTCATTCCATTTAAACTTTTAGTCTTTTTTTTGAAGCTATCATATGTTATACTGATTTAATCAATTCTCATGCCTAATACAGAAGAAAAACACAGGTAAGAACTCGCGGCAAAGCGCAAGCTCAAATACTAGTTTTATATAAACATCACCTTACTTTTGTCACACCTCTTCAACAACTTGTCATTTACGAGGAAATGGTTGTCATATTTTTTATAAATTAAAATTTAATATTTTTTAAAACATTTTTAATTTCTAAAAATTAAAAATAATAATAAACAAAAATAAATAAATAACCTAAAGTCTTACAAACTTACAAATTTCAAAACATAAAAAAAAACATACAAACATAAATACAAACATCAACCAGTTTCCCGTTAAGATCGATGTGGTCAACCGTCCAAATATGTTCCATCAAGTCCTTGTGAAGGTCATGATGACTCTCAACATTACGAATTATTCATCTTCTTTCCAAGTACTATTCGCTTCCAACCTCAAATGTTTAGATCCACAGAACAATCTCATTTTCGCTATACTCATATATTGCATTTCCTTCATCTTCGATAATCATATTAGGAGATATAATATAAGTGTACATCACCTCACCCATTTTCTTCTCCTCAACAAATGTTATAGGGTATTTCAGTATATGCCAACGTTTTTAAGAGCACCAAACGTTCGTTCAACATATTTCTTTGCCTTTTCTTGAGCTCTCTAAACTTCAACCTCTTTTGATCATTAGGACAAGACAATGTCTTCACAGAAGAAGAACGCTTCAGATAGATTCATTCTACGAGATACTACTCATACATGTAAGACGTTCCATGCACTATAAACAAAAAAACTGGTGCAGTCTTGTTATACATGTCGTCAAATATCGGAGACATGTTAAGAACACTTATGTCATTCAGGGAACCTACATAACCAAATAAGACATGCCATATCCACAACTCTTGTGAGACCACCCCTTTAAGTATGATGGTTAGGTAACCATGATCACCTCGGGTGTATTGACCTTGATGTGTGATAGGTTCATTTTATTTACTTCTTTTTATAGTTTATTTTAGCATATTTCATTACATGTTTATTTAATCATCATGTGTAGTTTCCTTTTTCTTATTTTATATCTGATGTGATATTGGACCTCCGGATGACGTATAATGACTCAGTTGGGTAGACTTTGGTGGAGATCTATAATCACAACAATAGAAAAGAAGGTTGTTAGCCGTTCTCCGTGAGGAGGTCCCGAGAAAACGCTCTAACGGTCAAGTCAGTCTCCGGGGGAGATGAGTGTATGAATGTAGCGTAAGGCTTAGAATATGGGATTCGATCCATTTACGATTGAAGGCGTGCGTCCTTTTATAGTGAGGACCTGTGCACAAATATCACTCGTGGAGACAGGAGCGTCAGGCCTTGATCGGGACTGAGGCGCTGATTGGTAGATCGTACTTTTGTCCCCTGTCTAAGTTGTGATTGGCTTAGTCACGGTAGTGGTGTGTGCACCTTCACTAGAGTTCGCAGGTGTCGACTTGTCTTCTGTTGACTTTCCCGCGCGTGTTCCAGACTGGCCATTGGACACCGGGGGTAGCCCAGTGTGAGCTGGAAGAGGAATGAGGCGGCCAGTACGGTCGGTTGCATGGTTGTACGGCTAGCGCCTTTATGTCTGGAAGGCACGCTATCAATTCTCTCTAGTCTTATCTATTGGGGTGTAGGCTTGCTTAGTCACAACAGATGGGACTGGCCTGGAATGTCGTGTCCCATTATGTTTGGTTCCTGTCTTTTCGTCTGCATGTTGTAGCAGTTTATTTGGTTGTGACGTCAGACACCATCATTAGGGTTTTCCAATTTCCCGCTTGGTGTTGCCCTTTACAACTTCCGCCCCTTTAGTTTTTTCTCTTCTATTTTGGTTGTTCTTTGTCTCGATTCTTCTCTTGTTCTTCTTTATTTTTGTTATCGATTCTCCGATTAGTGTTGTTTGGACTCCAGATCAGTTCGAAGCTCTTCAACAGAAGTATGGGTTTCTGCCGGAAGAAGACATGACATTCCCTAGTAAGAATACCAATTTCATCAATCCTCCTGAATGGAAGATTGGCATTTATGTGAAGCATTTAGATGTTGGGTATCGTCTTCAAACGTCTAACTTTTTTCGAGAGGTTCTTCATCATCATAAAGTTCATTTTAATCAGTCGGTGCCAAACGGAGTGGACAAGGTAGTTGTGTTCGAAATGTTGTGTCATGCTCATGCGATCACTCTCGATTTGTGGGTATTTCGCCATTTCTTTTATTTCACATTGACTTCTTCCAGGGAAAGCTGCACCTTTGTTGTTCGTAAGCATAGTTGTAACACCTGAATTAGGTATGTTTCCTTTTGGTCCTTCTTGTTTAATAGTATTGCATATTGGCCCTTGGTGTTAGTACGTGGGGCGTACCATTGAGTACACTTGGCGTACTAGCTGAGAAGCTAGTACGCGGGGCGTACCACATGATACGCTTAGCGTACTGATGCAGCTAGTACGCGGGGCGTACCACATGATACGCTTAGCGTACTGATGTGAGGCTTGATCGGGACTCCGGGCACGTACGCGGGGCGTATGAGCAGCTTAATGAAACCCTACTTTAGGATGTTGCATCATATATATGTTGGATAAGGTGTCTAAGTTCATAACTATTTATGGGTTGTACTTGACCCGATTAGCATGGTCCATTTAGGTTGCATGGCATCATGCATTTGGATAGACTAAAATGAGAGAAATAACATTTATGGTTTATTAATATATTATAAGTTCTAATATATTAATAATATAATTTAATTAGTATTGATCAAGAATTAATCTAGTATTAATTAAGTGATCAAAAGATGACTAATTAAATATATGGGTTGATTGTGTAAATCATCCATACTTGTATAGTGGGTTAAATGCTCCATGGATTATCAAGTTGGGCTTAGGTCCATAGGATGCTCCATGGGAGTTACAAACCCATGGGTCATGGAAATGAAGAGTCATGTCACATTAGGGTTTACATGGTGTAACCCTAATTGTAACACACTATATAAGGATCATTATGTTCACCAAAATCGGCCACTTTAGCAAGAGTGAGAGGGCATAGCCGATTTCTAAGTGTTCTACATTTCTCTCAAGTTTATTCCAAGTGCATTTGGTGTTGTGTGAGAAATTTGAGGCATCACACTTGGGGTGCTAGGCTCACAAGGTTTTCAAGGAATCAAATCAACTACAAGGTAT